TTGGTTAAATGTTTACTAAACTGGTAATAATCTACGTTGGCGGCAATTTCAAATTGCTAAAGCACCATGTATTTTATTTCGATGTCATTGGCTTCACCGGCATGGAGGAAGATCCGTCTCCGCCGGCGCCGGCAGCATCGAAGTTCGAGTGGTCTTCGCTCGCCAGAGTTACAAGCGACTCTCTTGATCCGCAGAAAGTATGGTATGTGCTTACTAAAGAGTTGTGTGGTGGAGTGAGGCCATCGGACTTTTCTCGAAATAGTATATTTACCAATTTTCCCGACGAAGTCAAGCTCGTCGTAACGCGCGAACTCAAGCCCGCCAATTCCGCGAGATGGAACAGACAGCCACGTAATATGTTCGTAGCATCTTCATTTGGACTGTGTGCCGGACTTCTAAGACAGAGGGAAATTCCACCTGACGGTCTAATCAGTTCGCCTTTCTTCCAGTCTGTCTTAAAACTGGTAAATTCAATTACCTTTGACTTGGAACCATCGAACGTGAAAGACATTAATTCTGGCGGGAAAACACGAGTAGTTGATTTGCTTGCTCAGAGGCAACTGGAAATCGAGTCGCTAGAGGCCGAGTTAAAAACACTTCATTCGAAGATTATTGAACTCGAGTCTCAGATTAACGAAAGAAATCCGGCACATTCATGGACACGCGATTCACCATCTCTAGAGTCCACGATATCGTGTAGTTCGACACCATCGTCTGCTGGAACCTCCCCCACATCATCACCAGCTTCCATTGAAGATACTAAGAATAGTCCACTGGGATCAACAACCAAAAAGAGAAGAATAGCCAGCCAGTGTAGAGAAGTGATGTCATCCCTAAACGATGTAAGCGAGAAGTATCGTGATTCCATCTCTTGTGTGCTAGGGAACACTTTCCTATTTGGAAATGACTCGGAGAAAGAACATGTGAGGGATACCATATCTGAAGTTGTGGACATGGTCATGGATGCTAAGGGTTCAAAGAGAGGCCTTTCAGAACTGTTATCATCCTCCACTTATCAAAGGATCATTGAGAGCATGAGAGTCCCAGACTGGGCACTTTTGTATTTTAAGCTCCAAACCAGGCTTCCAGATTCAGCGTGGCAGACGTTGTTGAATTTAACTCAGCTCGGGAAGAGTGGGGTAAGTTTATTCCAAATTCTATTATGATTTTTCTAAATACACCGATCATTCACTGGTTACTAGTTTAGTTAGGGATGATTAGTTGATCTCTTTATTTTGTAATCTTCGCTGAAGGATTTACAATAGATGAATAAAGTTACCATACCATCCCATATAAGGGAGCACCCCTCCCCCTACATTCTAGCCTTGATCCTAAAACCTGCCTTCTGTTACCATATTTTCTTGATTATGTGTTCAATGTCTCTGGCTAATTTGAAAATAACTACCTAGTTTGTTTATTTGCTGTCAAACATACAAGTGATAATAATTTCTCCACTGGGCTAGGAATGCCATAGACCATAGGTTAGATTCCTGTTGAAAAATTGAGTCTTTGAGTTACAGACTATTAAAAAAAAAAAAGAAAAAAAACACACACACAAAAATCAAAACAAAACAAAGCTAAAAAGCAAAGTAATTAAAACAATTACCAACAAAAAAACAATCAATTTTAGACAAACAAAACAAAACAAGCATTAATTGTGGTACTTCAGCCAATCAAGTTGAATTGGTATTTGAGCAGCAGTATTAAGCACTTATTGCAACCAAAGCAATAGACTGTCATTGTTTATTGTTTAGGCTGACCTATTTTTTATTACCCTTTATTTTTCTTAAGAGAGTTGAGGAAACTCCTGTACTTCTTACTAAAAATGAAATCAAGGCAGTGAAAAAACTTGTCTTCTCTGTGGTGAGGAAGACCCTGAAGATCACCAAGATGGACACAGACTTTGATGCCTGTGATGTTGACTTGAGTGGAGTGCTTGTTTGGGCTATAAGAGAACAACGCCTGTTCTCCTCTGACACAGAAGGCATGGAATTCAATATCAAGCTTGATGGTCGTCCCCTTGGAGGTATTCAATGACCATTAATGTTGCATTTTCTGCGTGTTAATTTGTCTTTGGAATATTAGGCTCCTATTTACTTTTAACTGAAACTTTGTTTGTAATTTGACATGAATTCCAACTTCCATGCAAATTTTCAGTGACCACTGTGCATACCCCATTATGTACTGTAACCTCTTTAAGGTGGGATTATTGGGTGTAACATTGTCAAATCTGTTGCCAACTGTGGTTTTCAGCCAAAGCTAGCTGTGCGTTTGGGTAATTATTTCCGTCACTTAGGCTTTTTTTTTAAAATTACATTGCATTGCATTGATTATTTATATCTAAGCTTGGACCTGGCTATTGTTTCTTTTTGACCCAAAGGGAAAGATCAGGTGGCTGTTGGTGTTGCTCCTATCGATTTTTCCAACAAGAGCTCAGAGAGTGCACTGTCTATCTACCCACTTGCCATCGCAAATTGTAAAGAGAAAAGGTAAGTAGTAATTTTGTGTTTAACTGACATAGACACATACTAAACTGTACATATGAAGAACATCAAGCTTTTGTAACTTTGAAATTTAAGTAAGATCTTGAGTCTACATTTAATGATATGTTTATTATGTATTTGTAATATTGAAATATATTTCCAAGTATCTAATGTACCAGCAAAACTGGGCTAACTCTGTAATTTGTCTAGATCAGCTGTCAACAGGTTTAATAAAAGGTCTCAGCCTTGCAAATTTTTATGAAAGGTTCGGCTAGGTTGGGAACTTAGTACTACAAATTACTCAGTGAAGTACATGCACAATAATCCTAATATTACTATACTTTACAAAGAAATTTCCTAAGTGGTTGAAAATCATTAAAATGCCAGATCATGTTGAATTAATTTTGAAGTCCTGAATATGATTAAAAAAAAAATTAATTAATTAACAAATAACAACAGGAACGTTTATTTATACTGACATTATTAGTTACAGGGTTGTTTTCTTGGTCTGTAGTTAAAAAAAGGCTAGTCGTGGCAGGCCAAGTTAATTATATTGAAACTAACAATCAACCCAAATCATTTTTAAATTAATTTTTTTTTAATTGATCCTACTGCTTTTTTTTTATTGGTGCTTTATGATTAGAATAGTTACATACTAGATATGATCTTATACAATTTCTTGTTTCATATTTAGAGGAAACTTAAAACAGCTTATTAGGAATCTCAATTCCCAAAAGAACCACATTAAAAAGCATGGCATTGTGGTAGATGGCAAAAGATACAGTGTCAAGTTCACAGGTATTTTTCAGATCTTGCTTGATAAGTTAGTATATTTAACATTATGGCTTGAGTATTCCTGTTGTTCTTGTTGTTTCTCATTAGTATGCTTTGGAATATATGAGCTTATTAATTTCTGGATTTCTTCAGTTTACATTTGAAACAAAATGATTAAGCTCAATAGTCTTTAATCATTCTTTAAAATAGCAATTGATCCTTACGATGGGAGAAAATCGTAATGAATGTTCTAATTTTGTTGTAGTGACACTAGATTACAAAGCACTGTGTCTTCTTCTGAACAAAAAAAATAACGAAGACTTTGTTCTTGGTGGAAAAGGCTATGGTTCCGAATTTTGCAGCTTTTGTGATGCCATAAGGGTAAATATAAATGTTTGATGTCATTATAATGTGAAAATCACTGACTCCCAGTCCAGCTTTTAAAATTCCTCAAAAATGGGTTGAAATAGTTTGATTTTCTCTTTTTCTGCTCACAGATTTTGTTGTTGCAGACTGTGGTGCTATTTTTAAACTGTACAGCATCCAGAAAGTTTTACTTTGCCAAAATCCTGATGATGATGATGATGATGATCACATCATCATCAGTCCATACAGTTTTGACATAAGAAGTCTGCAACAACATGAACAAAGTATCTTTATGTGTTGGACATCTAAAGAAGATGATCTTAGTTAAGAGACAACCAGCCATTATGATACATGGCCATAAGTATTGATGTAGGATGCTGCATTAGTGCTATAGAAACTTAAATCTTCCTTGTGCAAGCATAGTACTAATAATAATAATTACCCGAACAAGATTAACACTGTATCGCATTTGTCACATTTCTAGAAATATTATTAAAGCTGTTTCATGTACATTTGGTGTAGTCTTTTTTTCAACATAACCATGAAATATTTTCAATAGCATTTACTAGTGCAGCCACGCGTTATCACCTGTATACAACTTTATGTGTGCAGAACAAGACGCTAGAGCTTCACAACTACCCATGTACTGTAATTATCTTTGTTTATTAAAGGCATGCACATCCCATGGAGCTGATCCAGATGAAGCTTGCGTAGACTGCTTACGATCAAAAGCAAACATTGGAAGGTAATTTTATTCTGAATTCTTTCTTTTTTGAAATGTAATCAGATGTCCAATGAAAAAAAAACAACAACATAAAAATGACTTTTGCATCTAACTGTTGGAAGCTTGAAAAAGAAAACAAATGTTATTATAATAACTATGTTTAGATACAGATTTTGTGTGGGAGTTCAAATAGGGTTAATTTACTAGCAAGATTGAGTGTTACTTAGGGCTTCAACTGCAATCAGTCCTGGTATTGCCAAATACCACCACACTTGGAATCTGAAAAAAAAAAAATAAAAAAAAATGGAAATCCCAGACAGGAAAAGAACAATGTAACTGACTGCCAAATCTTTTTTGGCAAATATAGCCTCAAAGGTGTTGGAACTCTTGTCTGGAAACCAATGTCTCTATCTGACAGGTTTCTTAATTTTATTATTTATCTGGTGTTTCTTGAGAGGGAACCGAAGCTTATGAGCCCGGCGGTTTTTAATAGGTTCCCTCACCTAAGCTCACAAGCCCCATTTTGCTTTGTATCCTTTAATATATAAATTGTGGTTTTGTATCTTCTTTGTAATCTTGTATATTAATTAGTGTTATTTATTAATCATTGTATTCAAATTCTATTTTTGTTTTGTTTGTTTGGCAAATGAAAAAAAAATTAAAAAAATTATTATTATCATTATCATTATAATTATTATTACTATTATTATTATTATTTTTTAATTTTTGTTACTTTTTTTGAAGGAGTTCAGGTCTTCGTGATGACTTAAACTTTCTTCTGGAGGAAGATTTATGTAACATAAATCTCTGCTCCTTGCATTGCGAAATGTGAAATTGTGAACAGCTTTTGGGTTCTCTTTGTTTGTTTGCGTATCGCATTGGAAGCCTTGAAAGGTTGAATGAAGTCCTGTCTAATTATGGTCCTGAAAACTGTAGAGGATTTCCACGCATCACCATTAAAGAAAGAAAAGGGCAGCAGACTGCAATAGAAAAGCACAACATACAAGTAGCGTCATTCTCAGGTACACATAATAATTGGCCTGACATGAATTATCAGACTATGAATTACATGCTTTGCGTTTCCGTTTTTAAGTGTTGATTGCAGGCCCAAGGAAATGTTTAAGATGAATATTGAACATGTATATTCCAAGTTACTCGTAATTGATGCAGTATCATTATATTTACTAACAATCACAGTGTTCAAGGAGGCTCAATGGACCAATTTCTATATATTAAAATTCAGCCTAAAACAATAGAGGTCTATTGTTTTAGGTTGAATATTAATATCTCGAAATTGGTCTATTGTTTAACCATTTTTATTTACATTATTTTCATGCCAGGATCTACTGAAAGGGAAATTCTGAAAAACTTTGAAGAGATTGTGGAGACATCCTTGCCACTCGAGAAACTGAAGGCATATTATGAGGAATGTGCTGGCTCAGCAAAGCAAGTGGTCTTGAGCTATGTTACCTTCTTTGAGCAAAGGAAATCAGTAAGTACTAAAATGTAGCATAAGAAAAAGGAAGACAGCTGTTTCTGAACTCATTATAATCTTTATAGTTGACATGTTATTTTCCTCATAATCAAGAAGGATCCCTAGACAAAACTATATAACCTGGGAAAACTAGACTGTTCAATCTGGTCCAGTGTTGGTATCGCTAAGTCAAATATTCAAATGATTGGCCAAGGCAAGTTCAGACGATGTATGAATTAAATCCATGTAGTTTTGAGGGCAAGGAATCTTGTATACTGACAACTATTTTGCTCCTTTTTTCATTTTGTAGTTACCACATGTTAGGCAATTAAATGAAGAAGGCTAAAGTAAAATCAATATCATACTTATATTTGTACATTTTGTAGTTCATAGCAGATATTCTTGAGAATGGAGTATTTATGCGTGATCATGGGTCTAAACAGGAAAGAGTCAATCTTGTAGACAAAACAGGTAATTTTAACTACATCCATTTTTAAGGTGTCAGTGCCAGGTACCTGATTTGTAACTTGCCTCATCTGTTGGTGTTGTTGTTTTAAGCTATGTTGTGTTTGTTTTTTTGTTTTAGAACTTAAATCATTTCTGGAGGAGCATAAAGAATACTGGGCTAATAAACTTGAAGAAGTGGAGGAAAAGTTCTTAGCACTAGATCAATGTCAAGGAACACTTCAGGGGCCAAAACAGAAAAAGAGGAAAAGATCCGAGAAAAAGCCACAAGCAGATGTCAGTGATAACTTCTCCAAGCTTGCGGGAGAGCTTCAGATTGAGTTCTTCAGCAAGGTACATGATAAGTTATTTTTTAAGCTAACAAATCTGTATGAAAAGGTGGCCATAATAGAGACACCTATAGAAATAGATCTTCCCTGTGGTATAAATTGAATTTTTTCCCTTTCAGTAATACCATAGTGCAACCTTAATTATCAAGCTAGATTGAGATTCTTATCAAACTAGCTGTAACATCACATAAATGTTTTTGCTAACAAATTTAATGGAACGTTATCAGGTATTCAACTGTGTTGATGCTTCTGTGAAAGTTTGATAAATTTAATCAATAATCAGTTTTGCTCTTAAATGACCTATCAAATATGTATTACACTTTTATTTTTATTTTATGTATCACACATTTATAATTCAGGTATGCTGTGATTGGCGAGGAATTGCTTTGACCATGCGGGACAAAGTGTTTAAACCAGAAGATGAAGAACTTATAGACATCCATGACATAAAGGTATACTTTGTTTTTTTAAACCTTGACTTACAAAATATACTCATTTACCATAAATATATCAATGATCGTTTTTTATCTTGTTTGTGCTTTTTTCAGTGCAAAGAATGGGGCTTCTTACTAAAGAAGTTATTTGGCCAACACTTGGGCACTGGTGACTATGGACATCTTGTTGTGGACCACAGTGCGATGCTTCTTAGACATTTTCGTTCCATGTACAAATATTCTGGTCAAGGATTTGAGTCGTCACACAAGTTGCATAGACAGCTATATTCCAAGGCTACCAATCATGATTCCTCTGGACCAGGCCAATCTTGTAAGTGTTGTAATAGAAACTGAATAAATCTAAAAGGGTTCTTAAAAGACAATAAGGACAACTGCTGCATGCACACTCTTCAGTCTGTGTGTTCCGGCCAAATGTTTCACTTAAGTAATATTACAGTAATATTACAGTTTTCATGTGTGGGCTAGTGCAGTTCTATTATTGTGTCTAGAAAGTGATTTACTGAATATCTTTCAGTGAATCAAATACTCACCCACTGGTATGCAACCATGCTTCTGTCCCTACGATATGCATTCCATCAAGCAAGCGACTGCATTTATTCAGGCAAGTTACTAGTCAATAAACCAATTAATTAATTGCAGACTTACATGTAATCAAGTTGTAGCATGTTACATTTTTTTTTACTTTCTCTCTTGGAAACCACAACATGCAGTTCTTAGTTAATGCCCACTTTGCTGGATGTAGCAGGTGTTACTCTTTTAATGTTTAGACAAAAGTGAAAAAATAACAGCCCGAGGAGATGTATTGGAATTTATGCCTTTGTTACACCTGTGTTATTAATGTTGAGAAACCTTTACCTAACCAAACCAAATTGGAAATTGATCAACTGAACGATTATTGATGTGTCTTTGTTATATAATAGTCATCTTTTAGTTAACATGGTGACAACTAGAGGAAGAGGGTCTTTCCTTTTTTCTACAGTTCCTGTCTCTGCATCCTCAGGAAAAGAAATTTTACAGAGTAGTTTTCATGACTAACAGGAGGTCTGAGAAGCTAAAATAAAATGAATAAAATTCATGAAATGCTTATCAGAGTGCAGGTTGAAGCTCAGTGTTTATCATAAATTATTAAGTAAATTGCATGGTTTTCCATTTATTAACCTCTCTTTATTAGATTATCCACATGCAACGCAGTTGGGTGCTTAGGCACAGCCTATTAAATTTAGCATATTGGTATCTCACTGATGTCTGTGTGACAAGAACACGATTGATCAAGACAGACAGTTAGTAGGGAATATCTTTCCTTAATTAACTAATGTAAAATCGTCCTCTCTGCTTCTTTAGGCAAGAAAAAGTTCTGCTACCGTGGGTGCGGGTGGAAGAGTATTAGTACAAAAACATGGTCGGAGGAGACAAAGAAATGGATACTAACGATGAATGGCCTGTTCAACCAAATGTTTGGCAGTGACTTTCTTTCGTACAGTTACAACAAAGACCATGGAACCCATGTGACCAATGATGTGATATCGAGGCTCCGTGAGTATGATCATGTTTACTGGGAACGCGAATATGCCAAGCATGTGTCAGACAGCAGGGAAAATGAACGACCACTCCCAGAAGGCACCAATGATGACTTTTGTATCCCAGGAGCTTATCTGAATACAGACTTACAGCCTAATGCCCCTACAAAGTTATCAAAGCACCCTCCAGCAGTTAATCTTAGTACTTGCTTGCACAATGGCAGCCCCACAGACATAAGTCAGCCAACACCTATGGACGTGAGTTTTGAAATGAAACAAAGTGAGCAGACGCCCATAAATGTAAAGAAGGATGACTCTGTGACGGAAGAGCGTTCCTTTGATTCGGGGTCGGATCTTCGTGTTGCTATAGCTAAAGCTAAAACAAGAGCTGAAGAGGCAGCCCTATTCACCTTGTTACCACCAGTGTCCAGAAGTTCAGCCTCGGTTCTGCAGCCAGTCTACGGTGAGATGTCAGCTTCAGATCCTTACACTCTAAAGGAACGCCCCTGTGAAAATGTCATTGAGAAGGCACAGAAGCTGCTTGTTGATCAGAGAAGAAAAGGAATGCATCCATCTGGTATAAGCATTGTTGGAACAGGGCAGTTTTCAGAAGATGGCTTGTCCGTTCTAAGGAAGTTCTGCTCCCTGGCAGGTACTAAATGGAAAGTATCATCTGAAGCAAATTGGCTCTCCCAGTTGAAGTGCTCAGTGGCAGATCTGGTCCTAATTCAAGATGCTCTATGGCATCATTCAGCTACCACACCAATATTAAGATTTGGAAGGAAAAGCATCGATGTCACCTCTTTTTCTGAACTAACAGGAGAGAGGTACATCGATAGCTTTGTCATAGACATCTGTATTGGAAAGTATTTGGAAGAAGCCAGAGAAAATGGGAATGATGACACCCTGTACTTCCCTTCTGAATTCTACGACTGGATGAAGTCAAGTGACAGGAGTTTCAAGCGAACACGGGTTGCAGACGTAGCATCTGACTTACTTTTGTTTGACAACTTACAGCAAATATTAGTACCAGTTCATCTGCCAAACCACTGGGGCTTAAGTGTTGTTGATGTGGCAAATATGGAGATGTACTTTGACGATGGCCTAGCGCGTGNTGTTTCATATTTAGAGGAAACTTAAAACAGCTTATTAGGAATCTCAATTCCCAAAAGAACCACATTAAAAAGCATGGCATTGTGGTAGATGGCAAAAGATACAGTGTCAAGTTCACAGGTATTTTTCAGATCTTGCTTGATAAGTTAGTATATTTAACATTATGGCTTGAGTATTCCTGTTGTTCTTGTTGTTTCTCATTAGTATGCTTTGGAATATATGAGCTTATTAATTTCTGGATTTCTTCAGTTTACATTTGAAACAAAATGATTAAGCTCAATAGTCTTTAATCATTCTTTAAAATAGCAATTGATCCTTACGATGGGAGAAAATCGTAATGAATGTTCTAATTTTGTTGTAGTGACACTAGATTACAAAGCACTGTGTCTTCTTCTGAACAAAAAAAATAACGAAGACTTTGTTCTTGGTGGAAAAGGCTATGGTTCCGAATTTTGCAGCTTTTGTGATGCCATAAGGGTAAATATAAATGTTTGATATCATTATAATGTGAAAATCACTGACTCCCAGTCCAGCTTTTAAAATTCCTCAAAAATGGGTTGAAATGGTTTGATTTTCTCTTTTTCTGCTCACAGATTTTGTTGTTGCAGACTGTGGTGCTATTTTTAAACTGTACAGCATCCAGAAAGTTTTACTTTGCCAAAATCCTGATGGTGATGATGATGATGATCACATCATCATCAGTCCATACAGTTTTGACATAAGAAGTCTGCAACAACATGAACAAAGTATCTTTATGTGTTGGACATCTAAAGAAGATGATCTTAGTTAAGAGACAACCAGCCATTATGATACATGGCCATAAGTATTGATGTAGGATGCTGCATTAGTGCTATAGAAACTTAAATCTTCCTTGTGCAAGCATAGTACTAATAATAATAATTACCCGAACAAGATTAACACTGTATCGCATTTGTCACATTTCTAGAAATATTATTAAAGCTGTTTCATGTACATTTGGTGTAGTCTTTTTTTCAACATAACCATGAAATATTTTCAATAGCATTTACTAGTGCAGCCACGCGTTATCACCTGTATACAACTTTATGTGTGCAGAACAAGACGCTAGAGCTTCACAACTATCCATGTACTGTAATTATCTTTGTTTATTAAAGGCATGCACATCCCATGGAGCTGATCCAGATGAAGCTTGCGTAGACTGCTTACGATCAAAAGCAAACATTGGAAGGTAATTTTATTCTGAATTCTTTCTTTTTTGAAATGTAATCAGATGTCCAATGAAAAAAAAACAACAACATAAAAATGACTTTTGCATCTAACTGTTGGAAGCTTGAAAAAGAAAACAAATGTTATTATAATAACTATGTTTAGATACAGATTTTGTGTGGGAGTTCAAATAGGGTTAATTTACTAGCAAGGTTGAGTGTTACTTAGGGCTTCAACTGCAATCAGTCCTGGTATTGCCAAATACCACCACACTTGGAATCTGAAAAAAAATAAATAAAAAAAAATGGAAATCCCAGACAGGAAAAGAACAATGTAACTGACTGCCAAATCTTTTTTGGCAAATATAGCCTCAAAGGTGTTGGAACTCTTGTCTGGAAACCAATGTCTCTATCTGACAGGTTTCTTAATTTTATTATTTATCTGGTGTTTCTTGAGAGGGAACCGAAGCTTACGAGCCCGGCGGTTTTTAATAGGTTCCCTCACCTAAGCTCACAAGCCCCATTTTGCTTTGTATCCTTTAATATATAAATTGTGGTTTTGTATCTTCTTTGTAATCTTGTATATTAATTAGTGTTATTTATTAATCATTGTATTCAAATTCTATTTTTGTTTTGTTTGTTTGGCAAATGAAAAAAAAATTAAAAAAATTATTATTATCATTATCATTATAATTATTATTACTATTATTATTTTTTTTTTTTAATTTTTGTTACTTTTTTTGAAGGAGTTCAGGTCTTCGTGATGACTTAAACTTTCTTCTGGAGGAAGATTTATGTAACATAAATCTCTGCTCCTTGCATTGCGAAATGCGAAATTGTGAACAGCTTTTGGGTTCTCTTTGTTTGTTTGCGTATCGCATTGGAAGCCTTGAAAGGTTGAATGAAGTCCTGTCTAATTATGGTCCTGAAAACTGTAGAGGATTTCCACGCATCACCATTAAAGAAAGAAAAGGGCAGCAGACTGCAATAGAAAAGCACAACATACAAGTAGCGTCATTCTCAGGTACACATAATAATTGGCCTGACATGAATTATCAGACTATGAATTACATGCTTTGCGTTTCCGTTTTTAAGTGTTGATTGCAGGCCCAAGGAAATGTTTAAGATGAATATTGAACATGTATATTCCAAGTTACTTGTAATTGATGCAGTATCATTATATTTACTAACAATCACAGTGTTCAAGGAGGCTCAATGGACCAATTTCTATATATTAAAATTCAGCCTAAAACAATAGAGGTCTATTGTTTTAGGTTGAATATTAATATCTCGAAATTGGTCTATTGTTTAACCATTTTTATTTACATTATTTTCATGCCAGGATCTACTGAAAGGGAAATTCTGAAAAACTTTGAAGAGATTGTGGAGACATCCTTGCCACTCGAGAAACTGAAGGCATATTATGAGGAATGTGCTGGCTCAGCAAAGCAAGTGGTCTTGAGCTATGTTACCTTCTTTGAGCAAAGGAAATCAGTAAGTACTAACATGTAGCATAAGAAAAAGGAAGACAGCTGTTTCTGAACTCATTATAATCTTTATAGTTGACATGTTATTTTCCTCATAATCAAGAAGGATCCCTAGACAAAACTATATAACCTGGGAAAACTAGACTGTTCAATCTGGTCCAGTGTTGGTATCGCTAAGTCAAATATTCAAATGATTGGCCAAGGCAAGTTCAGACGATGTATGAATTAAATCCATGTAGTTTTGAGGGCAAGGAATCTTGTATACTGACAACTATTTTGCTCCTTTTTTCATTTTGTAGTTACCACATGTTAGGCAATTAAATGAAGAAGGCTAAAGTAAAATCAATATCATACTTATATTTGTACATTTTGTAGTTCATAGCAGATATTCTTGAGAATGGAGTATTTATGCGTGATCATGGGTCTAAACAGGAAAGAGTCAATCTTGTAGACAAAACAGGTAATTTTAACTACATCCATTTTTAAGGTGTCAGTGCCAGGTACCTGATTTGTAACTTGCCTCATCTGTTGGTGTTGTTGTTTTAAGCTATGTTGTGTTTGTTTTTTTGTTTTAGAACTTAAATCATTTCTGGAGGAGCATAAAGAATACTGGGCTAATAAACTTGAAGAAGTGGAGGAAAAGTTCTTAGCACTAGATCAATGTCAAGGAACACTTCAGGGGCCAAAACAGAAAAAGAGGAAAAGATCCGAGAAAAAGCCACAAGCAGATGTCAGTGATAACTTCTCCAAGCTTGCGGGAGAGCTTCAGATTGAGTTCTTCAGCAAGGTACATGATAAGTTATTTTTTAAGCTAACAAATCTGTATGAAAAGGTGGCCATAATAGAGACACCTATAGAAATAGATCTTCCCTGTGGTATAAATTGAATTTTTTCCCTTTCAGTAATACCATAGTGCAACCTTAATTATCAAGCTAGATTGAGATTCTTATCAAACTAGCTGTAACATCACATAAATGTTTTTGCTAACAAATTTAATGGAACGTTATCAGGTATTCAACTGTGTTGATGCTTCTGTGAAAGTTTGATAAATTTAATCAATAATCAGTTTTGCTCTTAAATGACCTATCAAATATGTATTACACTTTTATTTTTATTTTATGTATCACACATTTATAATTCAGGTATGCTGTGATTGGCGAGGAATTGCTTTGACCATGCGGGACAAAGTGTTTAAACCAGAAGATGAAGAACTTATAGACATCCATGACATAAAGGTATACTTTGTTTTTTTAAACCTTGACTTACAAAATATACTCATTTACCATAAATATATCAATGATCGTTTTTTATCTTGTTTGTGCTTTTTTCAGTGCAAAGAATGGGGCTTCTTACTAAAGAAGTTATTTGGCCAACACTTGGGCACTGGTGACTATGGACATCTTGTTGTGGACCACAGTGCGATGCTTCTTAGACATTTTCGTTCCATGTACAAATATTCTGGTCAAGGATTTGAGTCGTCACACAAGTTGCATAGACAGCTATATTCCAAGGCTACCAATCATGATTCCTCTGGACCAGGCCAATCTTGTAAGTGTTGTAATAGAAACTGAATAAATCTAAAAGGGTTCTTAAAATACAATAAGGACAACTGCTGCATGCACACTCTTCAGTCTGTGTGTTCCGGCCAAATGTTTCACTTAAGTAATATTACAGTAATATTACAGTTTTCATGTGTGGGCTAGTGCAGTTCTATTATTGTGTCTAGAAAGTGATTTACTGAATATCTTTCAGTGAATCAAATACTCACCCACTGGTATGCAACCATGCTTCTGTCCCTACGATATGCATTCCATCAAGCAAGCGACTGCATTTATTCAGGCAAGTTACTAGTCAATAAACCAATTAATTAATTGCAGACTTACATGTAATCAAGTTGTAGCATGTTACATTTTTTTTTACTTTCTCTCTTGGAAACCACAACATGCAGTTCTTAGTTAATGCCCACTTTGCTGGATGTAGCAGGTGTTACTCTTTTAATGTTTAGACAAAAGTGAAAAAATAACAGCCCGAGGAGATGTATTGGAATTTATGCCTTTGTTACACCTGTGTTATTAATGTTGAGAAACCTTTACCTAACCAAACCAAATTGGAAATTGATCAACTGAACGATTATTGATGTGTCTTTGTTATATAATAGTCATCTTTTAGTTAACATGGTGACAACTAGAGGAAGAGGGTCTTTCCTTTTTTCTACAGTTCCTGTCTCTGCATCCTCAGGAAAAGAAATTTTACAGAGTAGTTTTCATGACTAACAGGAGGTCTGAGAAGCTAAAATAAAATGAATAAAATTCATGAAATGCTTATCAGAGTGCAGGTTGAAGCTCAGTGTTTATCATAAATTATTAAGTAAATTGCATGGTTTTCCATTTATTAACCTCTCTTTATTAGATTATCCACATGCAACGCAGTTGGGTGCTTAGGCACAGCCTATTAAATTTAGCATATTGGTATCTCACTGATGTCTGTGTGACAAGAACACGATTGATCAAGACAGACAGTTAGTAGGGAATATCTTTCCTTAATTAACTAATGTAAAATCGTCCTCTCTGCTTCTTTAGGCAAGAAAAAGTTCTGCTACCGTGGGTGCGGGTGGAAGAGTATTAGTACAAAAACATGGTCGGAGGAGACAAAGAAATGGATACTAATGATGAATGGCCTGTTCAACCAAATGTTTGGCAGTGACTTTCTTTCGTACAGTTACAACAAAGACCATGGAACCCATGTGACCAATGATGTGATATCGAGGCTCCGTGAGTATGATCATGTTTACTGGGAACGCGAATATGCCAAGCATGTGTCAGACAGCAGGGAAAATGAACGACCACTCCCAGAAGGCACCAATGATGACTTTTGTATCCCAGGAGCTTATCTGAATACAGACTTACAGCCTAATGCCCCTACAAAGTTATCAAAGCACCCTCCAGCAGTTAATCTTAGTACTTGCTTGCACAATGGCAGCCCCACAGACATAAGTCAGCCAACACCTATGGACGTGAGTTTTGAAATGAAACAAAGTGAGCAGACGCCCATAAATGTAAAGAAGGATGACTCTGTGACGGAAGAGCGTTCCTTTGATTCGGGGTCGGATCTTCGTGTTGCTATAGCTAAAGCTAAAACAAGAGCTGAAGAGGCAGCCCTATTCACCTTGTTACCACCAGTGTCCAGAAGTTCAGCCTCGGTTCTGCAGCCAGTCTACGGTGAGATGTCAGCTTCAGATCCTTACACTCTAAAGGAACGCCCCTGTGAAAATGTCATTGAGAAGGCACAGAAGCTGCTTGTTGATCAGAGAAGAAAAGGAATGCATCCATCTGGTATAAGCATTGTTGGAACAGGGCAGTTTTCAGAAGATGGCTTGTCCGTTCTAAGGAAGTTCTGCTCCCTGGCAGGTACTAAATGGAAAGTATCATCTGAAGCAAATTGGCTCTCCCAGTTGAAGTGCTCAGTGGCAGATCTGGTCCTAATTCAAGATGCTCTATGGCATCATTCAGCTACCACACCAATATTAAGATTTGGAAGGAAAAGCATCGATGTCACCTCTTTTTCTGAACTAACAGGAGAGAGGTACATCGATAGCTTTGTCATAGACATCTGTATTGGAAAGTATTTGGAAGAAGCCAGAGAAAATGGGAATGATGACACCCTGTACTTCCCTTCTGAATTCTACGACTGGATGAAGTCAAGTGACAGGAGTTTCAAGCGAACACGGGTTGCAGACGTAGCATCTGACTTACTTTTGTTTGACAACTTACAGCAAATATTAGTACCAGTTCATCTGCCAAACCACTGGGGCTTAAGTGTTGTTGATGTGGCAAATATGGAGATGTACTTTGACGATGGCCTAGCGCGTGCTGCCCCTCCTACAGCACTTTCTTCAATCAAAGAGCTGTTAGACTTGTTCTTTGAAATGCATCCATCCCACCCTACCCTACAAACGAAGTTCTGGCAACATTGCACACATTTTAAACGTTTTGGAATGCCATCACAAGAACCAGTAGATCCCAGAATGATTGGCACTGGAAGCTGTGGGATTGGAGTCATTATGGCAGCAAACGATTTTATTTACAGAGGGTCTTCCTGCATTAACAAGTTCCAGTGGAGATTTAGCGAGATGGACATACACCGGAAAAACCTAATGTTACAAATTCTTAATTGGAGAGTGTAGCTTTCTTTTACCCTCAGCATTACTAAACTGTTGGTGGGTGTAGAGAATCCAGTTTGAGCTATTATCTGAAAGCAGAATGTAAATTTTTCGTAAACGAACTTTAGTTCCAATTCAACTGTTGTTATCTGAGGGCAGAATTTAATTTTTTTCCTATTACGAACATGAAATAATTCTGCCTTTCTTGGGTAGTCAGTTCAAATTCAACTGTTGTTATCTGAGGGCAGAACCTAGTTCTGTCTTTCTTGGGTAGTCAGTTGCATTTGGGCTGTTGTTATCTGAGGACAGAATGTAATTTTTTCCCTTGTACTAACAAGAAATAATTCTGTCTTTCTTGGGTAGTCAGTTCAAATTCAACTGTTGTTATCTGAGGGCAGAACGTAGTTCTGTCTTTCTTGGGTAGTCAGTTGCATTTGGGCTGTTGTTATCTGAGGACAGAATGTAATTTTTTCCCTTGTACTAACAAGAAATAATTCTGTCTTTCTTGGGTAGTCAGTTCAAATTCAACTGTTGTTATCTGAGGGCAGAACCTAGTTCTGTCTTTCTTGGGTAGTCAGTTGCATTTGGGCTGTTGTTATCTGAGGACAGAATGTAATTTTTTCCCTTGTACTAACAAGAAATAATTCTGTCTTTCTTGGGTAGTCAGTTCAAATTCAACTGTTGTTATCTGAGGGCAGAACCTAGTTCTGTCTTTCTTGGGTAGTCAGTTGCATTTGGGCTGTTGTTATCTGAGGACAGAATGTAATTTTTTCCCTTGTACTAACAAGAAATAATTCTGTCTTTCTTGGGTAGTCAGTTCAAATTCAACTGTTGTTATCTGAGGGCAGAACCTAGTTCTGTCTTTCTTGGGTAGTCAGTTGCATTTGGGCTGTTGTTATCTGAGGACAGAATGTAATTTTTTCCCTTGTACTAACAAGAAATAATTCTGTCTTTCTTGGGTAGTCAGTTCAAATTCAACTGTTGTTATCTGAGGGCAGAACCTAGTTCTGTCTTTCTTGGGTAGTCAGTTGCATTTGGGCTGTTGTTATCTGAGGACAGAATGTAATTTTTTCCCTTGTACTAACAAGAAATAATTCTGTCTTTCTTGGGTAGTCAGTTCAAATTCAACTGTTGTTATCTGAGGGCAGAACCTAGTTCTGTCTTTCTTGGGTAGTCAGTTGCATTTGGGCTGTTGTTATCTGAGGACAGAATGTAATTTTTTCCCTTGTACTAACAAGAAATAATTCTGTCTTTCTTGGGTAGTCAGTTCAAATTCAACTGTTGTTATCTGAGGGCAGAACCTAGTTCTGTCTTTCTTGGGTAGTCAGTTGCATTTGGGCTGTTGTTATCTGAGGACAGAATGTAATTTTTTCCCTTGTACTAACAAGAAATAATTCTGTCTTTCTTGGGTAGTCAGTTCAAATTCAACTGTTGTTATCTGAGGGCAGAACCTAGTTCTGTCTTTCTTGGGTAGTCAGTTGCATTTGGGCTGTTGTTATCTGAGGACAGAATGTAATTTTTTCCCTTGTACTAACAAGAAATAATTCTGTCTTTCTTGGGTAGTCAGTTCAAATTCAACTGTTGTTATCTGAGGGCAGAACCTAGTTCTGTCTTTCTTGGGTAGTCAGTTGCATTTGGGCTGTTGTTATCTGAGGACAGAATGTAATTTTTTCCCTTGTACTAACAAGAAATAATTCTGTCTTTCTTGGGTAGTCAGTTCAAATTCAACTGTTGTTATCTGAGGGCAGAACCTAGTTCTGTCTTTCTTGGGTAGTCAGTTGCATTTGGGCTGTTGTTATCTGAGGACAGAATGTAATTTTTTCCCTTGTACTAACAAGAAATAATTCTGTCTTTCTTGGGTAGTCAGTTCAAATTCAACTGTTGTTATCTGAGGGCAGAACCTAGTTCTGTCTTTCTTGGGTAGTCAGTTGCATTTGGGCTGTTGTTATCTGAGGACAGAATGTAATTTTTTCCCTTGTACTAACAAGAAATAATTCTGTCTTTCTTGGGTAGTCAGTTCAAATTCAACTGTTGTTATCTGAGGGCAGAACCTAGTTCTGTCTTTCTTGGGTAGTCAGTTGCATTTGGGCTGTTGTTATCTGAGGACAGAATGTAATTTTTTCCCTTGTACTAACAAGAAATAATTCTGTCTTTCTTGGGTAGTCAGTTCAAATTCAACTGTTGTTATCTGAGGGCAGAACCTAGTTCTGTCTTTCTTGGGTAGTCAGTTGCATTTGGGCTGTTGTTATCTGAGGACAGAATGTAATTTTTTCCCTTGTACTAACAAGAAATAATTCTGTCTTTCTTGGGTAGTCAGTTCAAATTCAACTGTTGTTATCTGAGGGCAGAACCTAGTTCTGTCTTTCTTGGGTAGTCAGTTGCATTTGGGCTGTTGTTATCTGAGGACAGAATGTAATTTTTTCCCTTGTACTAACAAGAAATAATTCTGTCTTTCTTGGGTAGTCAGTTCAAATTCAACTGTTGTTATCTGAGGGCAGAACCTAGTTCTGTCTTTCTTGGGTAGTCAGTTGCATTTGGGCTGTTGTTATCTGAGGACAGAATGTAATTTTTTCCCTTGTACTAACAAGAAATAATTCTGTCTTTCTTGGGTAGTCAGTTCAAATTCAACTGTTGTTATCTGAGGGCAGAACCTAGTTCTGTCTTTCTTGGGTAGTCAGTTGCATTTGGGCTGTTGTTATCTGAGGACAGAATGTAATTTTTTCCCTTGTACTAACAAGAAATAATTCTGTCTTTCTTGGGTAGTCAGTTCAAATTCAACTGTTGTTATCTGAGGGCAGAACCTAGTTCTGTCTTTCTTGGGTAGTCAGTTGCATTTGGGCTGTTGTTATCTGAGGACAGAATGTAATTTTTTCCCTTGTACTAACAAGAAATAATTCTGTCTTTCTTGGGTAGTCAGTTCAAATTCAACTGTTGTTATCTGAGGGCAGAACCTAGTTCTGTCTTTCTTGGGTAGTCAGTTGCATTTGGGCTGTTGTTATCTGAGGACAGAATGTAATTTTTTCCCTTGTACTAACAAGAAATAATTCTGTCTTTCTTGGGTAGTCAGTTCAAATTCAACTGTTGTTATCTGAGGGCAGAACCTAGTTCTGTCTTTCTTGGGTAGTCAGTTGCATTTGGGCTGTTGTTATCTGAGGACAGAATGTAATTTTTTCCCTTGTACTAACAAGAAATAATTCTGTCTTTCTTGGGTAGTCAGTTCAAATTCAACTGTTGTTATCTGAGGGCAGAACCTAGTTCTGTCTTTCTTGGGTAGTCAGTTGCATTTGGGCTGTTGTTATCTGAGGACAGAATGTAATTTTTTCCCTTGTACTAACAAGAAATAATTCTGTCTTTCTTGGGTAGTCAGTTCAAATTCAACTGTTGTTATCTGAGGGCAGAACCTAGTTCTGTCTTTCTTGGGTAGTCAGTTGCATTTGGGCTGTTGTTATCTGAGGACAGAATGTAATTTTTTCCCTTGTACTAACAAGAAATAATTCTGTCTTTCTTGGGTAGTCAGTTCAAATTCAACTGTTGTTATCTGAGGGCAGAACCTAGTTCTGTCTTTCTTGGGTAGTCAGTTGCATTTGGGCTGTTGTTATCTGAGGACAGAATGTAATTTTTTCCCTTGTACTAACAAGAAATAATTCTGTCTTTCTTGGGTAGTCAGTTCAAATTCAACTGTTGTTATCTGAGGGCAGAACCTAGTTCTGTCTTTCTTGGGTAGTCAGTTGCATTTGGGCTGTTGTTATCTGAGGACAGAATGTAATTTTTTCCCTTGTACTAACAAGAAATAATTCTGTCTTTCTTGGGTAGTCAGTTCAAATTCAACTGTTGTTATCTGAGGGCAGAACCTAGTTCTGTCTTTCTTGGGTAGTCAGTTGCATTTGGGCTGTTGTTATCTGAGGACAGAATGTAATTTTTTCCCTTGTACTAACAAGAAATAATTCTGTCTTTCTTGGGTAGTCAGTTCAAATTCAACTGTTGTTATCTGAGGGCAGAACCTAGTTCTGTCTTTCTTGGGTAGTCAGTTGCATTTGGGCTGTTGTTATCTGAGGACCGAATGTAATTTTTTCCCTTGTACTAACAAGAAATAATTCTGTCTTTCTTGGGTAGTCAGTTTTATTTGGGCTGTTGTTATCTGAGGACAGAATGTAATCATGATAACTATTTCTTACTCTTGCTTAAACTTGAAACTATTCTTTCTTTCGTTCTCGTCTAGTCCCAGTTCACCTGATGTTATCTGAAACAGATTGAACATATTTCTGTCTTTCTTGGATAGTCAGTTGTATTTGGAGTGTCGTTATCTAAAGCCATAATGTAGTTTTTCTCTTGTTTTTATTTGAAGCCATTCTGTTTTTCTAGTAGTCCTTCCACTTAACTGGTTTATCGTAAACATTGCAGTTGAAAAAAGCTTTCTATTATCATACATGTATATATCTCAGAGAAACGGTCAGCGAAAAATGTACATTATTGAGAGTTTCGTTGTACTTTCAAATTTATTCGTCACATAACATTGTAAAAAAATACCCGCAGCTGTCTACTAAGCTGGAGAATAAACCAGCATATTGCCATCAAATTGCAAACAAGTTTATCAAATAATTACTTTGGAAACATAAAATCGAAGGGTTAGTTTTCCATGTTTAGATGACGAGAACATTTCTGGCCACCATATCAGTTCAAATTCGCGCGTTGCTCTTCCTTCGCCATACCCAACAACAATTTGGATTTGCTGCGTCGGTGTTTGGTTTGCCGTTCGACCGTGAGCCTTTGCTTTGGCCGCCGCAAGAGCGTCTCTTCCTGTTTGTTCCTGGGTACAGTCAGTAATCTCCTTGTCTCCAAGGTAAGACTTTTTTAAATTGAGCGTTAAACCACTTTTCTGCTCTAGGGCGGCTACTACATCACGTATGTGGTAATCTCTGTAGTGTAATACTTGACAGGTTTCCTTCCATACCGGTGGGCGCAAGTGCCGCTTATCTCTTACACTGTTAGGGAATGCGTTGGGCATATCCGCAAGCAAAGCTTCAAAGTAATTTAGTGGTACGTCGTATCTTTCCACTCGACACCATTTTCCTAATAACCACAAATTAGATTCTTAGAGTAAGGGAGTGACATGGGGGGAGTAGGTAACAGTTATGTTTTTTGGTAATCGTTCTTTACGCTTGCTAAGCAAATGTGGGTCTGCAAGAACATTATTGGTTTTATTTCACTGGTATTCTGTGGAAGTAGCACGCTCAAATGTTGCGTTGATTCCTTGCCCATCTTTAAAATGTTAAAGGAGCTCAGTCACGGTATTCTGAGTTATTTTGGCCACATACAAAATTACCTTTAAATGGTAGTAAATCTGAAAATAACAGTTTAATAAGATAGAAAAACACCAAAGAGATAATGATAAACCATAAAGGAACAAGGATGGCTAAGGATGGAGAAGATTANACACGGATTACAAACGACGAATTTGAAAAATTGAGGCTAAACTTTTCAATATGCGCAAACCGTGACGTAGCTCCTTTAACATAGGGGATGTCGGTGCAACCGTAATATTCTTGCAATGTCGTCCATTTATTCGTTCGCGAGCGCTAGAACAATGAGCCTTTTATGAACAACATCCGCGAGATGACGGCATTTTCCACAAACGCTTTCAATTGACTTCACTAGGGTTTTATGTAAACATTCAGGAAAGATAACACTTACCTTTGGCTTTGGGATGCAAGCAGGAGTTTATGCTTTCCACGATGCCTGCTATCCACAGTTTATAGGCTGTAGACCTACGTCCTTTCAATTTGTTTGAAGGAAGCTGCACGACTTCTTGTGCTTTATAAAACGGCAAAAAGGAAACCGATCGCGCTCCACGGTGCTTTACAAGTCTGTGTCGTTGAAGAGCATTTGTAGTATTGAAAGAGCCGGAGCAAAGATCGCAATGCGTCTTGTACACCGCTTTCGCCATGTTTTTAAGTTTTAAATGTTGTTGAATAATTAACCTCTTGACCGGAAGGGCTTCTCAATGAATGGCGGTATTTACTGGTCACAGGTACATTTGACGTCAAATTTCTTCTGTTGTTCACATTTCCGGCTCATCAACTAAACAGACATAACTCTCTGCACTGCGTGGCAAAATGATAGAAGGTGACGTAATGCAAAATATTGCTATTTTTTAACTCGATTAACCGGAAGCGAAACGTCCCACGCGAGATCTGGATTTCGCAACCAGATTAGATCTGTTCCATCAGTATAAGATATTTTCAGTGCGAAAAATGGCAAGAAACAAGAGAAAGAACATGAAGGATAAAAGCAAATTCAAAGCTCTTAGAATTGAAGCAAAGAAGCGGTGGCGAAACAAAAAGGCGGAAGAAAAACGCCTCAAGCACGCAGTCGAGCAAGCCGCGTCAGAAAAAAGTCCTGTCGCTGTTGGTGAAGCCGGGGAACCCAATCCTGCAGCTGCCCTCATTCAACCCGATAAGCCATCGGTAAGCCGTCCTCTAGAGCAACAGGAGCAAGTCCAGGTACGGATGGATAAAGCTGCTGGACATGAAGAATTCGCCAACGTGAAACAAACGTCAGACGAATTAATCAAACAAATTAATCCCACGGAGATAGTCAATGCCAACAAGTTCTTGGGCTCTGGTACCTTCGGCACATGCCATCTTGCCCACTACAGAGGAATTTTAGTGGCAGTGAAGGAATTCAAGTCAAGACGATCAAGGCCCGACAAAGATGTGAAACGCGAGGTTCTAAACGAGGCCCGAATGATAAGTCACTTGGGTGACCACCGTGGACTCCCCTTGCTTTTTGGAGTTATCACGAAGTCAACGCCATTTCGTCTTGTAACTCAGTTCCATGGGGACAAGATACAAAGTTTAACGCTTTACAAGGCCATGAAAAGAGTGGAGCTGGACAAGCCATGCTGGCTTCGCATCTTACGAGGCATTATCGAGGCCCTTAGCCATGTCCACAGCAAGGACATTTTGCACAACGACTTAAAGTCAAACAATATTGTACTCGAAAAACGTGGGAAAGATTGGAATCCAGTAATCATTGATTTCGGGAAAGCGCGTTTCATTTCCAATCCTAAAGCACTAATGTCCTTGTCTGCGTCTGCACAAGAGCAGTACCGGCGTTCATATCCTCACATCGCACCGGAAATCGTCCGCGGAGAAAGCCGACAGAGTGTACAGTCAGATGTGTTTAGTATTGGAAGGATTGCTCTTGCCATTTTAAATTTGTTGCCAACTGCAACAGCGCTTTCGCTGAAAGCAGCAAAGCAAGCTATTTTAGACAATCCAGCTAAGCGGCCAAGTTTGGAGGAACTTTTGCTGCACTGTTGACACTAGTTTTAGATTCTTTTTGTTTTCTCGGGCAACTAGACATTAACTTTGGTGTTTGCCGTTTCCTTTTTATCCGTGTAGGATCAAGCAGTTCCCACCTTAAGGTCACTTACATGTAGCCTCATGCGATCCGAAACGTTTTTGTGGGTTTCAAGCTAACGAAACACGCCGGGCTCAATGTTAAATAAATATTATGCCCAGCGGAACTAATTAGTCGGTTCTAGTTCATAATACGTAAAATAATTTGTATATTTATAAAGATTTTGAAAATAGTGTTTCTAGCCTTACGCGATTCGATAAGTTTCGTGGGTTTTATGCTGACGAAACATGCCGGGCTCAGCCCATCAGACTAATCAGAACCTTTAGCCAGTTTCACGGCGTTTTAATTCGGTTCTTTAACGTTCTACGTCAGTTTAAGTCGGTTCTAGTTCATTATATTTAAAATTATGTCTATTTTGTATATATATTTTGGTGAGATAAGTTTTTATTTCTTTCAAGTCCAGAGGGCACTTTGTCAAGTCTCTCGCTGATTGCGTGGATGTTTACGTGTCTTTAGGCTATTTGAGGCTGGCCAGCTATACGGGCATGAAGCCAAACGGTTGTGTTAAGTTTTTCACACGTCATTATTGTGAATAAAATGTCATCAGAAATGTCGTAAGTTATCAGTTCTCTTTCACGCTGCGATGAAGAGATGTGCGAACCACGGGCTCGTGTTACTGGACTTAATTAGTTGAGTGTGGATTGAATCCACACTCAGCCTAATTTGCATATTTTTTTTTGCGGGTCAAAGCTCGTCATGTCACTACCAAATGACAGATAAACATCAGATAACTTTTTTTCTGCCAGTTTACAAGCAAATAGCTTACTATCCAGGGTTGATTAACAACCGTACACAACCTTAGTGGAGTTACACCCTCAAATATATGCCATCCATTTATTCTCCTAATAGCCATTTAAACTTGTATTCTTACATTTGCAGTTCTGGTTCATGGTTGGAAAACAGTCTTCCTTAAAAAATTGGTATTAAAATTATAGTCAGTTCTGATTT